TGGATGTCTTCATTCTTCTTACTTAAGGCCAAACGTAAGGGGACCTACTGCTGTTACCAAGTTCTCTTTTTCTCTCTAACAATCTGAAAACAAACGTTTCTCACATTCTCTACCCAGCCAATAAGAAAAGGACTGTGCTTCTCTCAAAACCTATTCCTCCAGAACGCACTCAAATGAACCCTGCACACAGGCTGCATCAGCAGAGGTGCACTGCCACCTTGTGGTCACATCTCAAACTACTGAACTAGCTGCTTAAATATTACTGTACCCTGTGCCTAGGAGAGACTCAGACACTAAAAGACAGCAATGAGTCAAACAAATTAACTCTTAGATGAGAGATTAAGAAAGAATGTAGAGAACAATATATTTATCTCTGCACACAACTGAGTCATTGTTAATGTTTTGGAACGATGCAGGTGCTGTTGGTACTTATGCAATGACGGCCCAACTTTACGTGTTTGAAACCAGGAAAGTGCCATGATCCACTCTTGTATACAAAGAAAATATAAAGCCTTCCTTTTCAAGCTGTGGTACATATGCACAATGGAATACTAGTCCGACATAAAAAGGACGGAACTTTTACCCTTTGTGACAGCATGGGTGGGCCTAGAAGTTATAATGCTAAGGAAATTGGTTATCCAAAGAAAGGCCAGTATCATATGATTTCACTGATGTGGCATCCATCCCTGGCTGCTGTGGCTCAGTGGATTGAGCACCAGCCTGTGAACCAGAAGGATGCTGGTGTGAGTCGCTGTCAAGGCACATGCCTGTGTTGTGGGCCAGGTTCCCAGCTCGGGGGATGCAAGGGGCAATCGACTGATGTGCCTCTCACACATTGATGTTTCTCTCCCACTCTTTCTCCCTTCCCCTCTCTCCGAAAATATATAAGTAAAATCTTTTCTTTAAACATAATTGTCACAGGCATGTAGATTACAGCATGGAGAATAGATTAAATATACCATTAGAGCTATGTATGGGGCAGGGTGATACTTGAAGAAGCATAAGGATCACTCTGTAGAGTACATGATTTTCTAACACTTGCTGCACAGCTGACTCTCATACAAAGTAATATCATTGTAAACTCTAATTGAAAATGTGTTAAATAAAAAGTAAGGAAGAAACATTTTCTTTTTCAACTAAACCTTACTTGTCTGTTATGAATAAAAGCTCTTTCTTAAAGTAAAATATAAAAAATGATCAGATATGAAGAAGAAGACTATTGCATATTTCAAATACTATCGCAAACTCTGCTCCTTAAACTGATTCTGCCTGTGACTTTGCTATTCCCAGAGAACAGATAGTAGCAATGTGGAAATTAGAAATCTTTCCCAGGATTGAGAGTAATTAAGAGTAAAGGATCAGACCTGCATGGTAAGGGAGCAGAGGCATATCTCCCTCAGTTATTAGGATTTCAACCACAGAAGACAATCTGACCCATAGTTTGGGATGAAATGCAGTGAGAAATATGATACACTCCAAGAAACGTATTCTAATGCTGTGTCTTATATTCCTCAAATTGTTGAACAATACAGCTTCTGAGAACACATCAGGCTGCAGATTGTGAAAATAAAACCACATGTCAATTCATTCTTGAGGTAGTTTCATTTTAGCATCAAAATATATGGTTTGTCCTAATGTGTAATTACTGACTCTAATCCTTAGTGGAACTTTTTATACAGTGTAAGCCAACTCTCCCAGCGTGGACTCCTGCCTTGCTGGCCATTGTTCTCTTGGATTCCACAATCCATCACTTTTTTCCAAACTTCACTACAATGTTCTTTCCTCGAGGCTTTGTAAAGCCTTTCAGACCTTGGAGTTTCCAGAATTATCTTTCTCTAACAATAACCTTTATTTGGATCCTCCCTTCATATTATAGAATTTTGTACATAGGAAACATATATCATTTTATTGACCAACTTAACCCCAAAATTCAATTTTTGAAAAAAACTACGTGAAAAAGAAGGGAGAAATGGTCGTAAGGTAATGTTTTCACAGGACCACTTTTCACAAAATCTTCAGCTCATCATGCAAATTAGTTTCATGTAAGTGTGCATTTAAAGTTTTAAAACTATATTTTTCCAGTCATTTTAGGGTCACAGAAAAAGTAAGAGAAAGGTAGAGAGGTTTCCAATGGACCTCCTGCCCCCACATACGCACAGCCTCCTCTATTATGAACTTTCCCCCCAACAATGGTGTATTTCATACAACTCATAAACCTGCATTGATCACCCAAACTCACAGTGAACAGTCGGGTTTACTCTTTCTATTGTACATTCTATGGGTTTACTCAAATCTATAATGACATGTGTCCATCATGAGAGTATCATCAAGATGAACTTCAGCGACCTACAAATTCTCTGTGCTCTTCTTAGTTCTCCCTCCCTCTCCCCTCAAACCCAGACAACACCTGGTCTTTTTACTGTCTCCATAGTTTTGCCTTTTCCAGAATGTCATATGGTTGGAATCATACAGTATGTAGCCTTTTCAGATTGGCCTCTTCATTTAGTAATAAACATTTACCTTTTCCTTACCTTCTCATGGCTTGACAGCTCATTTCTCTTCAGTACTAAATACTAATACATTGTTTGGATGGCCTACTCCTTATCCATTCCCCTTGATGGATATTTTGGAGGCTTCCATGTTTTCACAACTTAGAATAAAGCTGCTAGAAACAACTATGGGCAAGTTTTTGCATAGAAATAACTTTTCAACTTCTTTGGGTTAAATCCCAGGAACACCGTGACTGGATTATATCGTAAGAGTGTGTGTAGTTTTGTAAGAAACTGTCAAAGCATTTCATTAAAGTATCCCATAGATATAGTATGTATACACACACACACACCCACGCACACACAATACACACACACACACACATATACTATATATATATATATAATATAAATATATACTTTCATCGATAACAGTTGACCAAGAAAGTTTACTGCTCCCCTTGGCTGTACATCAACGCCCCAGAGGGGAAAGCACGAGCAGGCACAACAGGTGGTCCTGACAACAGCTTAGCTCCGCACCCCCTGCTGTGACCATGGACCTGAGCCCGCATGTGCTTCTCGCCTCTGTCCGGCTGCCCCATGTATCTCCAAGGCTCACACAGATGTTGTGTCCATCTATGGGACTTCCCTTATACAACACAAGTGCAGAGATAAAACTATGAAGAATGTCAAGAAAGGGATAACAGAATATTAAACCAAGGACAGGATTCCTTCTGCAACTGCACTGGTCACATGCCCAGGAAGCTGGATCTGATCCCAGCTTCACTGGACTCTCTCCATTTGTCCTCACCTTAATTTTTTGGGTCCTAGTCCTTCTATCAGTGTCCTTATATTATAATAAAGACAGTGCAGCTGAGAATTCCATTGTTTGGTGGCCAGAAGTCTTACTCTCTGGCTACAACATAAGAGGGTGTTTTGAGGGGAGCCCTGGGAGCTTCCCACATGCTTTCCCAAACCTGAATATGTTACAATAGCATGAGTCACAAATTCTCTCAAGAAGCAAGGAAGAGTGAAGGTATCAAAGAGAACAGAATGAAAATTTTCAGGAGCTCTTTCATATAAGGTGCTATCTAGGTGGGCCCGAAATGTAATCCTCACACACTGCTGGTGGGAATGTAAATTGTTGCAGCCTCTATGGAAAACATTGTGGAAGTTCCTCAAAAAATTAGGCTAGCACTACCACACGATCCAGCAATCCATCATCTGGGTATATGTCTAAGGAATTTGAAAACACCAATTCATAAAGAGGTATGTACACCTAAGTTCAATTCAACATTATTCAACAATAGCCAAGACATGGGAAAAACCTCAGTTTCTTCGTTGGGTGATTAGGTAAAACATTTTTGGTACATCTATACAATGGAATACTATTCAGCCATAAGAGAGGAGGACATACTGCCATTGACAAAAATGAGGATGGATCGCGAGAGCATCACGCTAAATGGAATGAGTCAGACAGAAAAGGACAAAACTCACATGTCTTCACTCATATGGAGGACATAAAACAGAAAGCAGCAAATGAACAAAAAAAACCCTCAGAGACATAGACAACAATATGGCAGTGACAAGAAGGAAATGGGGTTCAGGGAAGATTATTGTCCTCAATACAATTAATTGAGAAAGGGGGGCCAATTGTACGGTGACCAAGGGAGACTAGACTTTTGGAGGTGGGCATACAATGCACTATATACAAGTGATGTAGTATGAAATTGTACACCTGAAACTGATATGATGTTATTAACCGATATCACCCCAATAACTTTAATTTTTAAAAATGAGCTAAATGGATATTGCGTTACTGATGTGTATGAACACATTGTACAGATTTATCAATAGCAGGCATTTGAATTAGGCGATTTTAAAGACCGCTATATCAGGTAGCTCAAAATAGAAGCTCTCTTATCACTTCAACGGCATCAATTTAATAATAATGTTGATTTTAAGAAGTCCCTTAACCTCAACAACCCTCACTTTATCCATGCATAAAATGAAAGAGTACAGATTTACAGAATGTCATCATTGCTAAATAATATATGTAATAAGCTAAAGAGCCTGCACCTCAATTAAATTATTTATCTTATATTTGTTATATCTAGGAGTGTAGGAGCCTAATACAAACTATAAAATCCATTATACAGCCTCTCCTCTGTTTTCCTGGGTAGTACAACCATCTGCAGTTAACTGAAAAAAAGAGTCATCTCTTTCTACTTGTTGATCACCCTGTTTTTCTCCAAGCCTTTTCCAGCAGAGTATTTGTACGACATATATGTGTAATTTGCAAGGGGATATGTTTTCACAGGAAATTAGATGTTAGCACCCTTATCATTTGTTTTCATTGTTTTATATTAAAGCTTCTTACATGTAAATTTGTTTTCAGGAAGAAATAATGCAAAATAATTAAAATTACAGTGCTAACGAGTCTAATTTTAGGACAAAAAGAGTTTGGAACATAAATTTGAAAACCCAAAGATGTGCAAGGCTACTATGGGGTCAACAGGCCTGTCGTATGGAAGGGGTGGAGCTGCAGGCCCATCTGCAGTTTGGGTACAGGCTGCACATCACCTGGGAGCGCTGTGCCTCCGCCGCACAGAAGTAAGTGGCTGAGTCTTCCACTAGGACGTTGTGATGCGCAGGGTACTGTACAGGTCCTTAGAATGTATTGTGGAGCTCAGCCTTCCAACCTGTTTTGCCTCTGAGGTCAAGTGAAATAGACTGCTGAGGCCACCACCAGGATTCTGTCGGAACCACTGCACTCGGTACACTGCGGTAGAAAAATTGCATCTCACGGTAGAGTTGCTTCCCTCCTGGAGGCTCAGGGCTGAAGGGCTCTGCTCCACCATCTGCCCTCTCACCCCTGCTTGGAAAGAGAAAAACACAAATGATACCACTGCGACAAATGAGACAGTTTCCAGACTGGTAAAATAGCCCAAGAAACACCCAAGTGGGGCCATCTCGGAGCTCTGTGTCAGGTCTCCTCCTTCTCCCCCTGTCAGCTGTGGACACTCCCGCTCTGGGGCCCCATCTGGGACGGCCCCAACTCACAGCCAACCTGGGCCCACAGAAGCCACAGCAGGGCTGCCAGGTGTCTCTTCATGACGTTTACCTAGACAATGTGGTGCCTCTGCCTTGCTCTGGAGGATGTAGAGTCGTAGGCCTCAGCAAAATGTGTTCCTTCGGTAATGTGCTCCACCGGACTCACCGAACACCAGTCACATCTGAGCTCTGTCACTCATCTGAAGGGCAACTCCACCCACAGTGGCCTGCGAAACAGCACAGTCATCTCTCCAAATTCTGGTTATAAACAGTGCAGGAGGGTCAGGGGCAATAAATACAATGTATGAAATATGCACTTGTTTTTACTTAAGATACTTAATGTATAAGATGTTTGGGAGTTAATGTGTGAGGAATGGAAGATGATGAATCTGGAAGAATCGGTGTCTCGGGTATAAAGTACGACCTTAAAAAATCCTCAGTAGAGTAAACCACTATTTCCCAAATTATATGGTTTGATAGAGAATTTGAGAATTCAGTTATATGGGCATTGTGATAAAAGAAAACTGATAGTATGTATTGTTTGTTGCGCCAGTTAATCCATTTTTTAAAATCCGTAGACTTCTAGAAACCAAGGCACTCAGACACTATCTGTATAGAAAATGATTCCAACAAAATCAGCCTGATGAAAATTAGAATACTTTTGTAATGTCTACTCTGACCTCATTTCCACCTCTCCCATTCCCGTCCCCATCTAGGGCACCCTGCTGACCTTCACAGATTGTTCTGGTCCAACCACACTATGCTCGTCAAATTAAATATTGCCTTTTCCCTTTGCTCCAGTTTTTCTTCTTTACTTTTTCTTTTGTTTTCTGTTTTTGTTTTTAATTTGTTGTTGTTCCTTCGACTTTCACAGAGATATATCAAAAGGTAGGATATTTGGGGTGTTGGAATAATGCTGGGTCAGTGGGTTTGGGGAATTTTAGTCATAACAATTAAAAAATTAAAAAGAGGATATAGAGATTTTTTTTCCGTTGAGCTTCCATTCTCACAAGGACCAGTAACATCCTCACTCCTGTGACTCGGCACAGAGAACCGTTCTCACCGTGGATGGACAGCACGTGGAGTCCAGCTTTGTGCAGTTTACATTGAGTGGCAGAGCTGAAAAACGGAGCTGAGCTTCACCCAGACACTGTGAACCCTCTCCTCATCTGTGCTGTCTATAATTTGACTGGCTCACACGCTCACTGGTCTCCTTTCTTAAGGGCTCGCTCAACCCTCAGAACCATGATGAAGTTATTTTTTGTAAAGCCTGCCTTGCCCCCTAGGGGCCCAAAGCCATCAGTAAAGAGGACTTTAGACCTGCTGACTCACCAGTCACACTGCCCCAGCCTCACTCACTCCTGGTTTCCTGATGGAGGAAATGCAGATCCTTAGAAAACAAAGTAACTCCCTACACTGAAAGGAGATAAAAAATGAACCAAATCTACCTATATGATCTTATTGACTAATGTTACCCCAATACATTTAATTTAAGAGAGAACCAAATGCCACTTTTCAAGTGTTATTTCATGAAAGTTATTTCTATAAAGATTTTATTTATTTGCTTTTAGAGAGGAGAAGAGAAGGAGAAAGGGAGGGAAAGAAACATCAATGTGTGTTTGCCCCTTCTGGGGACCTGGCCTGGAGCCCAGCCATGTGCCCAAGGCTGGAAATCAATCCAGGGACCTTTGATACACAGGCCACCACTCAGTCCACTGAGCCACACCAGCCAGTGCTAACAATTAATATTTAAAATAATTTCATAAGTCACATCTTGTGCTTTTTACCTGTTCAACTGAGATTGTAATGAATCTTTAAAAGTTTATTGAACTTTTAGTGTGAGTGAAATAATTAACTAAAAGTTAAGAATATATAAAAGTGAATAACATCCAATGTACAGGCCCCTGGGGAAGACAAAAACGACGTAACCACAATGGGGTCAGACAGTGACCCCAAGGGGACCGGACACTCAGGGATGTGGTCCCAGAGGACAGCGGCTTACACCTGCGAAGGTGGACAAAATCTTAGGAAGAACGTTGGTGCCATTTTCTCCTTTTCCCCCTTATTAGGGAGGAAAAAATATATGAATAAACCTTTATAATGGCTTATGACTATTTATCAACTTTAACAAGAGTTAAAAGTGAATATATGAATTATTAAAAGTAATAACACATTATATATACACTAAAACCCCTTTGAATACCACCCTCAATTCCCACTCTTCCATCACTTATCACTCCAATTCTTTCTTCATCCTGACCAATTTGGAGTTGATACGTTTAGGTTTTATTACTAAAAATTTAAATATACAGAAAACATATAGTATTTTCTTTATGTTTTATTATAATACAAACAGACATGTTGTGCATACATTGCTGTAACTTGTTTTATAAACTCGATAATAAAGTTAAGTCTATGTTAACGCACACAGGTCCTTCTACTATAGCATTTCCCGTATTATGGATATACTACTGTGTAAATAGCCCTTCCCCAAAGGACACACTCTTAAAATGTTGATTCTTATATATAAAACTCCACACTACAACAAACCTTTCTGAGCATTCACCCTTATTTCCATGAGCACATGATTCTCCAGGAGCACAGACTAGGATGAAGCGGAGGAGTGAGCCCTGAGGATAGTGTGTGAGAGTCACCCCAGGCAGAGAGAGGGAAGTTCGCGGACAAAAGCTCTGAGGGAGAAAGGAGCAAAGTCCTGTTCTGATTATTGTGTTGGATGGTTCTCTATTTTATGCTTCTAATGTACATTGGAACTATAGTTTAGGAGCTGACTTGATATACTCTCTGAAATTACTGTCCTAATATACAGCTGGTGCGTCACTTGTTCAATCAGCCACTGAGGTCATTCTAAATATAGTAACGTTGCAAGAGGAAAAAGTAATCCAAAGGAAAGATATAGGAAGAGGAAATGTTATAGAATAACACACACAGAGAAACAACTTAAAGATAAAAGTCTAAGAAGAGAAAACGCGTTACTTTTTTCACATCAGCAGAGAGAACAAAGAAATTGTCAATGCCACAGAAGACAGACTAAAAAGAGAAGAAAAAAGCAAGAACATGAGAAGCAAAACCAAAACATTAGCAATAGGTCGTAATATATAAGTAAATAAAACTATATAGAAGTAGTTATTTGATTAAATCAAAATTCAAAAACTCTTGCTGAACATTGCTTAAGAGAAAATCCTAAAGAAAAACACCAAGAAACCTAAACACATAGGATGGGATTCTTCCAGATGCCCCTGTGTGAGGGGAATGAAGGCCCTCCCTTCCGCCGACCCACTGTATCCACCGCAGCCTGAAAGAGACAACCCAAGGGAAGGCTGATTCTGCTGAAGGGGCCAGAGGACGCCAAGAGAACACCAAGTCAGTGAGCAAAGTTGACTCCTACAAGGCGGGATCTAGGAAAAAAGACTAAAGATGGCGTCCCCAAAAGTTAATATTCAGATAGAAAATGAAAATGGAAGGAAAGCTGACACAGACAAAACAGGAAAGAGAAATTAAGATTTACAGGAAAGGATGACATCAAAAATTTTATAAAAACCTATACTTTTAATGACAAAAAATAGAAAAGCCAAGTGTCCATAACAGCTAGTACGTACCTATCAGTGGTCCTGCAACACTCGTTCTTTCACAACTCGGAATCTTTTATGAACTCTCTATAAAGGCATATTTCCCTCTAAACCTTCTCAAAACACATCAAAGATGAGAAACCCTCATGATCAAAACTGTGTGTATATTTTTGTGCAAACTCTTCAGTAAAAAGTTGAACCCAGGCAGGGTGTAAGGGTCTTGCTTATATACCTCATTTTATTTACAGCGAGACGCACTTTTGATATCTTATTATATAAAATATAACATAAAAAAAGTTTACAAGCATACAATATCCTAAACATTTTAATACTTTATCTATTTTTATTTCCATGTTCTAGTGCATTATTTCCTAAATGGAAACATTCCTTTGTATTCAATATCCTTGTATATATGGAAGTCTAATTTGCCTAAAAACTCTATTAATGTGCTCAAAAGATTGGAAATTTGTGTTAAGTGTACTGTGTTCTGATGTTAAATAAGAAGATCCACCAGAGGGGATCACACAGTCATAGTCACTCAGCAGCCTGAGTTTGTGCTCAGCTCCCCCTGCAGTTTCTGTCACTGTGTCAATCAGAGCACAGAAGTACGTTGCCGAATCTGACTCCTGGACTGAGGCTTTCTCCAAGTGGAAGGAGTTTGGTTCTTTGCGATATGTGGCTTCAAAACCGCCGTTGCTTCCCTTCTCATTGGCCCTTGCGGCTCTCAGGAGGAACTGTGGGCCATCTCCAGGATACTGAACGTACCAGAAGAGAGTGGGATAACCTGGGGCTTCATAGGAGCAGTTCACAGTCAGGGAATCCCCTTTAAGCAGGGTCACTTGGCCTTCCGTCTGGGTCACTGAGTCTCCATGTGTTCGTCCTGGGGAAAAATAAAACTCTGCCACCTTAGATATAAAGCTCTCAAATGAAATCAAAGTTTAAAAACTTGCTGATAGAAGGAAGAATCCATTTTTAAGAGGCATGTTACTTACCAAGCACTAAGAGTACCACAGTCACTAAGCCTGGGGCAGAGTTCATCTCCGCAGTGTTGCCTGAATAATGTTCTTGACACTGCACAGGAGGAAATGTTGGACTCACTGGGAAATGCTAAGTCAAAGCCTACATTTCACCAGGAAATGTGTTTATATTACGAAGCACCACCCCCTGGTGGACAGGAACTGACATGGGATGAATGTTTTTTAGATTCTCCCCAAAAGCAGTATGTTCTCCTCTGTGACATTATTTATGAAGCACATGTCTGTCTTCAGGGGATGTTAGAAATCTGAACAACTGCCCTCAGCTGTCAGGGGTTCTTTTTCTTTAGGACAATGCCCAATATTGAAGTACTTTAACATAGCAGGCAGGGTATTTCTGTAGAAGACATCGATTTTCTTGAGCATTTTAATATAGTACATTACATTCTCATGTGTCTACTGTGGGCCTGCCTATAATCCACTGAATGTCAGAAAATGGATGGGGTTGAAATCATGGGAAGTAACACGAAGTCTAGTTAGTTTGAGTAATTACTAACTTTTTATCACCGTACCCCAGCAAGAACAGTGACTGACATTTCTTACGTGCCTGGTAAATATTTGTTACAATAAACAGAAATAAACAGGCTTTCATTGAGGATTCTCTACTACGTGACATACAATATTTTCTCAGGCTTCAAATATTATCTATTGTAAGAAATGCTATCTTTTTAGTAAAATTTTTCAGGAGAAAAATCCTAAGTGAAATTACTCAGTGAAGAGAGAGGTTAGTTCAATATCTTCATCTCCTACTATTTTGTTCCTTCCAAGATTACATGGCGAACCAATGTGAGTCGAGCAATTAGTATAGGAATACTAATCCTATACGCTTAATGCAGATTCAGTGTCAAAAGTGCTTTCAACTACCACCTCTCTGCCATCTTCTGTGGCCAAACTTTCATGACATCAATTCCCCCACAGACCAGACAACCCCAGAGACATGGAAATGCATGAAAAGCCAGGAGCACAAGTTGGAACTCTCTTCTTTCACCTATCTAATCATTAAAGATATTCCAGATATTAATCATACAACATCTGATAGTAGAATCAATGGGAGTGACATAAGTTACACATTCCGGGATCTCAACATAAATTTCAAGAAACATATATTCCAGAATCGAGACACACTGAAATTAAAATTTTAAAAGCTACCCAGGCAGTTTTGTTACATTGAGCCTGATACCCATTTACAAGATTTCATTTGTGATAACTGTCCTAGACCAAGGCGATCCTCTAAGATCAGGGAGAAACTTGGAAGATCTGCATGAGGAAATGTCCTACGGCAACACAAATTGTAAAAACTTGCCCTTTCTATGAAGTGTCAGCACCAAAAGTAATCATTTCTTTAGTTCATTTTCTATGTACATTCATTTTAAAAACAAAACCAAAAATAGCTGAGGATTATGAGGGTAAAGTTCTGGAGAGGGGCACCTCTCTCTGTCAACATTTATCCAGACACAGACATGGAAGCTTAGTTCAGGCTGTTTCCTGGAGCTCTCTCTACACAGACTCAGATCAAGGTGTTTCATGAGTCCTTGAATCAACCTGTGAATAGAGTCCCAGATGCGGACGAAAATCCAGGCCCAGATGCTTGACCTCTCCTCCAGCTTCCAAGTTACATTCCCAGAACCTACCACAAAGCTATGCTAGAATGGAATTCTGAAAAAGCAGCCAGGAACTTTTATTCTGATATTCAAGGAGAAAACAAAGTAAGCTGGGACAAAGTTGGGTTGAAAGTTAACAGTGCAGCACATGGGTACACAGAGTTATTATGTATACTTTTAAAAAACACATAACTTGGCCCTGGTGGTGTGACTGAGTGGATTGAGTTTCAGCCTGTGAACCAAAGGGTCACTGGTTTGATTCCCAGCCAGGGCATATGCCTGCCTTTTAGTCCAGGTACCCAGAGGGGAACACATGTGAGGCAACCACACATTGATGCTTCTCTACCTCTTCCTCCCTCCCTCCATCTAAAAATACATAAATGAAATTTTTTTTAATTTTAAAAAACACATTATTTAAAGCCAATGAGAGCCAAAAGAAGAAACATTTTTCATGTTGTGTGCACCAAAAAAACTTGTACAGCATGAAGGGAACATTTTTGATCCCTGCTTTCAGGCAAGATCTGTGTCACAAATTACATTGTATATTTTATGATTTTATATAAGTGGAATTATATCTGCTCTTCTGCTGGCTTCTTTCTCTCAGCATAATTATTTTGAAATTCTTCCATGGTCTCATTAGGATCAATAATTCATTCTGTTTTGCTACAGAGAATTAGTCAATCATATAGAGATAAAACAATTTGTTTATTTATTAACCTCTTGATGTACACTTTTGTCAGTCCCAATTTTGGAATGTTACATGCAAAGCTGCTATGAAAATATGTGTATAAGACTTTTTTCAAAAAAATATACTTTCATTCCTCTTTGGTCTATATCTGAGAGTAGAACGGCTGGATTATATGAAAGGTTTACAACCGACTTCATTAAAGTTAATTACTTCTTCTACTAGCACTTTTGCCCGTACCCTTAGACTTTCTACTAGATAACTATGATATCTGTGAATTAGGATAGGTTCGCTTCCTTTCTGAACTGTATGTTTTTTGTTTCTTCCTCTTGCCTAATTGCACTGCCTAGGACATCTAGGACAATACTAAACACAAGAGGTGAGGGGCAAAATTCCTGATCTTAGAGGGAAAGCACTCAGTCTTTCACTACCAAGTATGACCTTAGATGTAGGGTTTTTGGAGAGGGCTTTCATGAATTTGGAGAACTTGCCTTTGATTCAGAATTTGCTGGGCGTGTGTAATGAGGAATGGAGGATTTCTCAAATGCTTTTTCTATACCTACTGAGAGTACTCTCATTAATTGACCATCAGCTCATTATCAATCTTTTTGAGTATATTATTGATAAGTTATCACAATCAAATATTAAAGAAGATATTACTATGTATTTCACTAACAATGAAACAAGCTCGCAAGTACCTAGAAAACACGTGACAGGACTAATGGCTTTTAACATGGTTCTCTCGGAGAGTAAAAGTCTGCTTCTTGGTTTTTCCAACTGATTTATTTTCAGAGAAAATTTGAAAGGCCAGAAGGTAGTGAACTTACCTCTTGACCCTTTGAAGTACCTCAAGACACTATGTCAGCAAGTTCTTTATTCATGCAAATGGAACTAATACAAATAATTGAATAATTGCAGGTGTAGCCTTTTCAAAAAAAGGCAGAGGGAGAAACATGAAGGTCACAAGCTGCATTTCAGGAGCAGACCACTAGATAGTGTCTTGACCATTCTTTCTAGACCCTTTATGAGACATCTGACTTGAAGAATGCACTGCAGCAAGGGTGACAAGCTCTTCCCGACTTCTGTGAGTCACCACGAAATGAAAGTTCATTCGTCGCTGGTGATGACTCTCTCCCCCTGTTCCTTAAAACTTCCTTGTCATAAAACAGTCTAGACCATAGTTCTTCAAATTAACCGGTGTATATTGTTCTCTAAATTTTTGAAGAATTGCCATATGATGCAGTAATGCTTCTTCTAAGAGCATACTCAGAAAAATGGAAAGAATTAGAGTTTAAGGAGGTCTATCCACCATGTATCCAGCTAACTAACAGGAAAAATAGACATTTATTGAAGAAGATACAAGAAACACCATATGTAAGACAAAGATGCCTCATCCCCCTTCAAAGTAGTTACCCTGGGACCTCATACAGTTCTCCCAATCCCCATCGGCTGCCCCGTCATCTTTTCCAGAATTTCATCAATGGTCTGAAATCTCTTCCCTTTCTTAGGTGATTTTAGTTTTGGGAAAAGCCAGAAGACACAGGGTGCCAAATCTGGGGTAGAAGGGGGATGAGTCACCTGGGTGATTTCATGTCTCACCTAAAAACTCTGCACAAGACATGATGCATGAACTGACATGTTGCTGTAGTGAAGCTGCCAATCACAGTTTTCCATAGCCATGGCTTCTCAATCATCCCAATATTGTCTGTGGAGAAATGTTCAAGCTTAATGCAAAATATGATGCAGATTCATTGCACTCAGTCATTTTGAAAGAGACGGCCACAAAATACCCATGCTCACTCAGCGGCCTCTACCGCCCCCACTGACAGTACAGTGAAGTCATCACTGGTCATGCATGTTCATCCCTGTCCACTCTCCTTCGCTGCCAGGTGGCATCAATGTCACACAAACTGTTCTCGCTAGGTTAACAATGGCTGGACTTTTTCTGGACAAACCTTGTATGCTCAAAATATTGATATATTTACATATACTTTTCCACCAAAATATGGAAGCAACACAAATCTCCATCACCACATCAATGGAGAAACAAAATTGGTATATCCATACACTGGAATATTATTGAAGCTTCAAAAGGAAAGTAATTCTGACACGGGCTATATAGCATGGGTGAACCGGCAGGATACGAAGCTGGGTGAAATACGTTACAGTTTGACCAGTAATGCAGGATTCTGCCTTTGTGAGGTATCTGAAATTCTCAGACTCATGGGATGAGACCTGAAATGGTATTTGCCAGAGGCTGGTCAGATCAGGAAAGGCATGTCATTGCTAGGGGAGCACAAATATTCAGTTTTTCAAGGTGAATAGAGTTGTTTAGATGTAAATGTGCTTAATGCCACTCAAGTGTATACATAAAATCATAAAAACTTTATGTTGAAATGGTAAAATTTGAAGAACAGTCAAAATGTTGAAAGACACTCCTTTTCAGAGTCTACTATGCACATCTGCTTCCCAGATGCAAATATACAACGGACTAATAAGATCACTTCTTCAGCATCCATTATCGTTCAGATTTTTAGGCACGGAGACAATAGGGTTAGAAGTAAAAGGAGGAAATATTAGAGAATGCGGACTTTGGATTGTGGAACATTGGAAAAAGGGGGCAAGGGTGTGTGCAAATGAGCCACATAATGGCAAAAATGCTTTTAGAAGAGTGGTGAATTGGAGGGCAAAGGTAGAATAAGATAATTCACACTTTACTTCTTCACAGTGTCCCCCTGGAGACACTAATTA